AGGAGAATCGAGAACGGCCGGGATAGAAATACCGTGCTCTCAGTGTTGGGAAAACAAGTATAGAAGCCTGGTTGTACTGGCCTGGTTGTACAGGCCTGGTTTTCAACATGCACCATTTGTGTATACGGTAAGCCTGGTTTTAATTAGTGTTGACATGATAGAAATACAGTACTTGGTTCGACTGGAAGCTTGATTTGAAAAGAAGCCTTGCCACAGAGTCGAACAATTGGCAGATTTAGTGGCTTGATAATGGCTGACAAAGCAAGCAGAGAAATTGGCACCGTACACATGCAGCTTGTGGTGGGCAATTCCTGAAGTTCTGCTCATCTTTTTTATCCAGAAAATATACCAAGTATGCATGAAAACATACCTGCGCTACCGCACTCTGCCCCATTCCTTCTGGTAACTAGGCTGGAGCCCCTCAGAATCAATTACTCAGACATTTTGACACGGCATTCTATGCGGAAGAAAAGAAACAATAAGAAGCGGATACACGTGGGTGCAAGTGTGCATGTGTACACGCACGCACGCATACGCCCCCCCCCCCCCCCCCCACACACACGTACTTGCCCATGGCGAAAACTGGGTCTCCCCGAGATGAGAGAGGGTAGAGAGACTCACCCCCCCCCCCCCCCCCACACACACACATACACGCGCACGCACATACACCACACACACACACACATACACACACACACACACACACACACACACACACACGTATACAGACACGATCGGTGCGGTGAATCATTTGCCGAACATACTTACCCTGGTCTTTCTTGCCTCCTCGTGTCCGACACCAGTCCATGATGTTACAGTGTCGATGGACTTTTCTCGGCAGCTTGGCAGTTGAGCCAGTAGCGGTTGCACGTCCGCCGCTATTGCAACTAGCACACTTCGAAAGCTGGCACATGTAGTCGGAATAGCCGATTCGACGTCGAGTTACTTCTCAGAGTGGCGGAAGCGGGGCAGCCACTAGCAGGGTTTAGTTTTTCCGCACAGCGTAGCGGCTGCCTCTCGGAGCGCTGCATGCTGGAGGCTCGCTCGGATCCGATGTTCAAGGAGTGCGGGCGAGAGACGCCTTGAGACACACCCTGTACTGTCATACTGTCCTCGCTCTTTAAGCTTTCGTGACTGGTCTGGTCTCCTCTTTTCACATCGGCACCAACAAGCATGAGCCCGCGTGCGAGCCTCAACAGTCGTTGAGAATGCTACATACATGCACAGTTTGTACTCGGAGGAGAATTACCGGTACAAGGACAGAAACTAGAAAATGGACCAACTCGCTCCGCATACGAACCGTCCGGAGAATAACCGTAACTCCACATAACAATAATTTTGTTTCGCTAACTGTAACGACTGTTATTTTGGGCAAGTCTTTTCTAGAAAAGATTACGAAATATCATACTGCAGATTGGTCAAGGTTTGTCCTGCATCTCGCCATGGACATGATAACGGAACGCTGCGGGTCTGGACGCGGATAGGTAACGACTACACTGACTACAGGTCAGCTGAGAGCCACAAATCAAAAAGCATGTGTGAAGACTTGCGGCTGTCTCAGTGCGAGTGAGACCATGGTGAGCAGTCAAGCCTCAACATAGTCATAGTCATACTCATAGGCTCAAGGGTTCACATACTGACATAGTCACAGGCGATAAGGGGAAGGGGCTTCACTGCACTGGGAACATCATTCCGCTTGCACTCAGCTCAATCATCCACTGGAAAAATTAAAATCCAGGATACAGTATACTGTATGCAGAATCTTGGGAAAGATCAGGGACATAACCCCTCAACAACTGCCCCCCCCCCCCCCATATCTCCAGACTCTGAGCGGAAATTCCTTTGCTTACAGGCTAACCCCGGGCCCCGCACACCACAGGCACAGTAAGTGGGCGAGGACAAGGTGCAGAATATGACTGTATTAGTCCAGCACCAGGATATTCATCCCGGATCCAACCTCTTTCACACTGTCCTGAACACTTGATACGAGTGTGGTTTCTAAATCAGGTGCCGGTGTCAAGACCACCGGAAGCAATTTTCATTTTGTCCGTAGTACCGTAAAAGCCCGTGTATATGCCCCGGGCAGCCTCGATTTCCTGGGCATATACAAGGGCACGGGCGTTATTTTGGAACCGGGCGTATACTTGGAATAGGGATAGCAGTAAGTATTGGGTATCAGCAGCTGTACAATCATGTACTGGTGTTTCCGGCATACCTGGGCGCATACACGGGCATGGGCGCTATTTTGAAACAAAAGTGTTGACTTCCCCTGACTGGGCGTGTACACGGAGGGTGGGCGTGTACACGGAGGGTGGGCGTATACACGGAGGGTGGGCGTATACACGGAGGGTGGGCGTGTACACGGAGGGTGGGCGTATACACGGAGGGTGGGCGTGTACACGGAGGGTGGGCGTATACACGGAGGGTGGGCGTGTACACGGAGGGTGGGCGTATACACGGAGGGTGGGCGTGTACACGGAGGGTGGGCGTGTACACGGAGGGTGGGCGTATACACGGAGGGTGGGCGTATACACGGAGGGTGGGCGTGTACACGGAGGGTGGGCGTATACACGGAGGGTGGGCGTATACACGGAGGGTGGGCGTATACACGGAGGGTGGGCGTATACACGGAGGGTGGGCGTATACACGGAGGGTGGGCGTATACACGGAGGGTGGGCGTATACACGGAGGGTGGGCGTATACAGGGGCTTTTACGGTATCATGCCCTTTCACGTTTGGTGTATGGTATGGCAGCTACACACAGCCATCCTCCGCAGTATAGTAAACACCAGGGAGACCTACACATGTCTGTAGGGCTCCCTGGTAAACATGATAATAATTATTATTGTTTACTACTGTGTTGGTGGTCAAAAAGTTGGCCTGGTGATAGCCTGACCAACCGGACTGATTCTGGCGGGCCCAGGGGGTCGTAAAATACCGGATACCGGTATTTTACGACCCCCTGGGCCCGCCTGGGTATTGTACACACTTGTAGTACTTGTACATTTTATGTAAAAAGCAAACAGGAGAAAGTACATGCATACGGAATTTGAAACCAACACAGGTGACCTGGTGACCGGCACAACACACTTTCCAGCAGGTGAGGCTGCTGATGAGAACAGACCCAACCACTTTTCAGCATACAGGTAGTACCGGTAGTGTGGGCACAAACCACCAGCCAAACTAGCTGGCGCACACGCACACATACACACGCACACACACACACACGCACACGCACACCACTGCAGTCATATCTTCACAAACATTTCACAGCGTGAGGAGAATGTTGTATACAGCACAGTGACACCCATAATGTAAGAAAGTGAGTCAAGCAGATATGAGCATTGAAATATGTCGGAGAGGACGCTATGCAACAAGCGTGCATCTGACTTATCAAACTAAAACTTAAAAAAACCTGCTATTTAAAAATCTAGCAATGTGAAGAGCGTAAGAACCGGTCCTAACTAACTAAGTTAATACAACGGCGAACAGCGTGACGTGACGTGCACACATGCACAGGCACTACTGGTACAACAGCTGCTGGGCATGAAACTAAAACTAAGCTAAGCAATGAATGAACTCACCACCGTAAACACTAAATACTACTGCATACGTGTTACTAATTTGAGAGAAAAAGGAAAAAGAAATGCACCGGTAACCATGGTAATCATGGTAATTGAAGCACAAAGCCCAAGGATAGGATAGTCATCCAGTCAGTTTTAGAAAGTCGGGAAATGGCCGAAGAGCTAGCGATCAACGGCGTGGATTGAGCAGGTTGCATCGGTGGTAACACACACGATATCTTTCAGTTCACCGCACGCACAACAGCCTTGCACAGCAACAATATAAAGCGGATCCAGGCCAGGACAGGATGAGTAAGTTTAATTGGGAAACGTGATGATTCAGATGAGGCGCGTTGGAACCAGGCCAGGACATGATGGGTTTAATTCGGGTGCAGGACTAGTCGAGATGAGACGGGTTAGAGGGTTAGACTAGTCCAGGACATGAAAGGTTCTAATTGGGCAAGAGGACAAGTCGAGATGAGGTGCACTGGACCAGACCAGAACAGGATGAGCTCAGTCCAGGGGTACGTTAGTCCAGCAAACTTAAAACTGTTAAACTCAAGATCAGAAGAGTAAGCAGGTGCGAGTAGCGGATGATACGAGACCTTGACCACACAAGTCCAGCGTAAGGGAAGTCAGAATGAGACAGAGCAAGAGCTGGCCGATCGGATGACAAGACAATGAGATACGCTCACGGTGAATGCTGCATTTTTCAACGCAGAACAATTCGTGTGATGGTCTCAGCGAGGTAGAGTGCGGATGAAATTCTGCAGCCAGAGCAAGTGTCCCTGTGGTGGTGCTGTACACACCGACTGGATAGCAGGCCAGCCAGCCAGCCTGACAAGGCAAGCGGGGATGGTAGAGTTTAGAGTGGGTACCATGGTAACGGATAAAGCAGAAGCAGAAGCACACATGCATGCACGCTGGCATAATGGGAGTATAGACACAGCGCGGAGATCAACTGGTCATGGCTTTGCACGACACCATATGGCACGGGTTGCCAGGCTGACACGTACCCAGCACACGATGGGAGCAGATTGGTTAGGCAGGCGGCAGGCGGTGATAGGGCTCCTGTATGCTACATCCACAGCCAGTCCTGCTATGACAGACTGCGGGACGTGTACTCAATCGGCCCGCCAGGGTCGTGCTACTAACAATCAGTATTCAGTGGTGTAGCAATGAACAAAGGTACTGCAGCGGTTACGCCTGAGAAACGGATACTGGTACTACCAAGGGAACATTGTCGCACAGTAACACAGCGATGTAATGACGCAGATATGTAATGAAGCAGCGATGACGGGGCGTCATGATGTAACGATGAGGTGATCACTGATGTAGTGGTGTAATGATGTAAGCGGTGATCACTGATGTAATGATGTAGTGATGTAGCGATGTAACGATGAGGTAATCACTGATGTAGTGATGTACGCGGTGATCACTGATGAGTGATGTAATGATGAGGTAATCACTGATGAGTGATGTAATGATGTAGTCATGTAACGATGAGGTGATCACTGATGTAATACGTAACGATGCAGCGATGTAGACAAGCATACCGAACACCAAGAGACTTCCTTTTTCTTAAACACGACACAAACATGGTCATTCATCTCGGTACGAACATACACGAGAGATCACGCTGGTGTACAACAGCGAAGCACAGAGTGAGAGAAAGACATGACACGACATCGCCACGGTCACACATCGGCATGGCAATGTCGTTAGACGGTAACTTAGCATGGTGACCATTGAGTACTTGCTGCTGCCATTGTTGGTGTACTCCCAACACAACAAAACAAACAGATCAGCGAGAAACTCACGAGTAGCCGTACCAAATCAGCGGAGGACAACAGGGAGCGGCCGAGAAAGGCCAGAGGAGATTGATGACAGAAAGAAACATCAAAGTTGTCGGAAGAGAGCACCATGCTATGACTGTCAGCGCAGGTGGAGAACAGCGGCGGACATCGTCTTCGGAGACGTTCATGGTCTCTTCTTTTTTCTGGAAGCAGTAGCCAATTACGACATGGTGGTCAGGCTGTATCAAACAACAACAACAACCGTGAGAATAAAGATTTAAAACACGCACAGTGACACACAGTGACACACAGTGATACACACACACACTCAGGACGTAAATATAAGTCCTTAGGGACTAGCCGGCATTATCGATAATTTTCACGAGACGAAAAAGTTTAGTTAGGACCCTCCCCCACCCACCCCATGAACGAAAAATAGATTGACTTGACAGCAAGAATGCCTTGATGTCTCACATATCGATATTTTTCAAAACGAAACTCCCCTTGACCCACCCACCCATAAAGGAAACATTTTCTCTTCGTGTAAAACGATCGATAATTATGGACGGCCCCTTAGTGGACGAGCGTCATTCTCAAGGACGTAAATATACGTCCTTAGCGGTGAGAGGGCTAGGGAGCAGCTGCTCCGCAACTGGTAAGAGCCAGTGTTGCCAGTGCAGTGGCAACTCCAAGTGTGGAGCCAACTGTCAATGCCGAGAATCCAACAAAGCCTGTGAAAACAGCACGCCAGGGAGGAAGGAAAGGTGCGGAAACTCGCCAACGGTCGCCAGGACTGATACTACAGTAAATCCCGTAGAGCTTCGAACCGAGCAGCACGTGCCTGTTTCACCACACTCGTCCACAGTCGACACCGGATCTGTGTCAGAGTCTCAGCAGTTGGCGTGGGACGCTCTTGACCAGCAACTCGATGGAAACGCTCAGGTTCCGGGTTCAACCAGTCGGCCTGCACTCACCGAAAACGTCGTGCCACTTCCCAGTGCCATTGGTAGGTCTACCTCTAGCCTGGTGCTAGCGTACCTTGATCAGAGACAGGGGGGGGGGGGGGGGGGGCTCCCAGGCACACAATCACCTGATTCCCCACAACCAGGGAGCCCTGCGACATTTGACTTGCCCAACTTATCTGAATCGCAGTACACAAGCGAATTAAACATCTTCACGGACCTTCCTCCGAAGCTCGGACGATCCAGCGGCAGCTGAAAGACCGCACATGCTGGAACTCACAGAGTGACGACCACGCTCGTACGTTTGCCACATTGATCCAGGCAGGCAAAACGAGCGCCGCAATCGCCACACTTGGAGGACAGGTGTCTCGAAGTACACAACCTTGCAGAGATAGGCAAAACCCAGCCCCAGGCGGCCTATGCCGCGTTCACCCAAGGCCTGTGCCACAAGTGGTCATTCCTTGCTCGGACTGAGCTCCAATTAGCCTGCTGTTGAGCACTGATCACCATGTCCCCATGCCGTGCTCAACCCATCCATCTGAGAGAGATAGAGGTGTCACGGTACGGACGAGCCTCGAGCGTTCCGGATCGACTCTGACTCGTGAAGGAAGGAAGTGTCAGGCGTATGGTTAGCTGTAGCTCATTCTCTCTTTGTGTTTCATTTGTTTTCATTTGGACCTGTTCACTCGCGGTACGTGTATGCAGCACTGTGGCTTGGATGATAGGTCGGAGGAGAAGCACCATTTCCACAAAGAGTGCTAGACAACAAGAATCAAGCGTGATGAGAAGGATGTGCTGTTGGTCATAGACACCGTGACCAAATTCATGAATCCGTTCCAGCCAGCATCTCTCCAGCCAAGTGACCAGCAGTTTGCAATCATACCTCACTCAACACCAGACGTGCAGACATTCTCACGCAGTCACATCTTGTTCTCGTTGTTGCCGTAGTCCAACCAGATGTTGTACCTCTCTGCAATGGCCTTGCCAAACGTGAGGGTCCTGGACGCGCATGCTTCTTTATTCCTTCTCTTCACTCTCGATCTCTTAATTTGTTTTGCCTCGAAATTCTTCATTTTCAAAACAAAATCCTCTTCTGCGCAAATCCTAGGCATGCCCTGCTACTGGTGTAAGTGTAGGCCCTAGCTCGTCTCTCAATCTCGTTAATTTGTACTATTCTCCATGTTCCTTTTTCTTCCTGGAAAAGGGATATTTTGTGTACATACCGTAAAGTCGTGTATAAAAGCGGCGGCTTCTATGACTTTCTTGGTGAAATTTTGCAGGCTTCTATATGAGACAGGCTTCTATACAAGACAGGTATTTCTATGTATGTCAACACTAAAACCGGGCTTATGTGTGATTTGATGGGCCCAAAATTGCGGCTTCTATTCGAGGGCGGCTTTTATACAAGACTTAACGGTACATCTTTTCTCTCTCTTCCCCTCCTTCCCCGGAAAGAGAGATGTGTATAGTGTTTGTTGCCGTATTGTCCCTCTCCGTATTGTCTCTCTCTCTCATCTATAATTATGCATGCTCGTTGGAAATAAATCAGTCTTTTGTCTTGTCCCGCAAGGAACTCCTGCGTGGCTGCAGGCGAACACAACACGGACAACATCCAGCACAATGTTGTCTCTGGATGTTGTCCAGCACAATGCTGTCCGACTGCTTCCGACTGCTTCAAAAGTGTGCCTATCCATGCACTGTTGCTTTTCAAGGTGAACCGAAAGTCATTCTTTTCACACACATTGTAAAACTAGTCTTCAGGCGGCTGTGACATTTAAAAACGGTTCAGCCCTATGGTAAACGTTCTCTCAAGGGAGCTCGGCACACACACACGCGCACACACACCTCACCTCACCTCAGACCTGCCCCTCGCGGAAGCGATGATAGCCAGTAGCTATGTTAGACATAGCAACTTGTGCTGGGATTACACCATTCAACAGCTTGCAAGACTGATGAATTGACCGCCACTAATTTTAGCCTGGTCTACACCACAAGGCTGATTGAAGCAGCTTTTTCTGGCCAGTGAATCCCTATTTTTCATTTTCCACACACACACACACGCGCGCGCGCACACACACACACACACGCACATACACCTCACCTCACCTCAGACCTGCCACTCGCGGAAGCGATGATAGCCAATAGCTATGTTAGACATAGCAACTTGTGCTGGGATTACACCATTCAACAGCTTGAAAGAGTGATGAATTGACTGCCACTAATTTTAGCCTGGTCTACACCACAACGCACAAGGCTGATTGAAGCAGCTTTTTCTGGCCAGTGAATCCCTATTTTTCATTTTCCACACACACACACACACACACACACACACACACACACACACACACACACACACACACACACACACACACACACACACACACACACACACACACACACACACACACACACACACACCAGAGCCGTACACCAGAATCGTACACCAGCATATGAGAGTCGTACAGCAGCATACAACAGCACACACCAGGGGCATACAGTCAACTTCGCTAATAACGACTGCGGATATAACGACAATTCGCGAATAACGACAGAATTTCCATGCCCAGAGCAGAGTCCCATCCCACTGTAATACATAATAACGAGACTTCGGGTATAACGAGACTTCGCGAATAAGGACACATTTTTGATGCCCCGCCGAATGTCGTTATAAGCAAAGTTGACTGTAGCTGTTCCCCCCTTTTAACATGGGGGGGGGGGGGGGGGGGGGGGGTGTACAATAGCATATGTGTAGGATGGCTGGCGCATGTCATTCCTGGTCATTATGTGCATGCTGAACCTAGGTCGGCATTTTTAGGGGTACACGTACACGCTAACCATGTACTTACAATTCTTCATGGGCAAATGATACTACGCACGACGGCGTCATGGCTCAATTCTGCAGGAACACTGACTGGTCGAACGCCACCACCTGCTTCTCCGCCTGAAAGTCGTAGTTCAGCTCCGGGGATGACATTAGCTTGGCCAGAGATTGCTCATCAACGACGTCATGCATGCTGTTATCGCGTAGAAACGGACGCAGCATGGCCTGGTCGCGAGTCTCCGCCGCCGCCGTGTTGGCTAGTCGTTGACACGATGCCAGAGCTTGCAGCTTAGCGCTGAGCCAGAAGGGAAGGTCCTGAGGTCGCAGAACCCACGCCTGCAGGAGCACATAATGAAGGAAAAGGAAACCAGGAGTTTAACCCTTTACCATCCGACCAAATTTTCCCAGCAGTCCCAAATGCAATAATTCTCACCTTATTCTGAGAATATCTTCGGTTCTAATCAACCAATTTTCACAATCTTGGGCATTCTGGAAAGCTCTCCACGAGCTGCGTACATTGAGCTCAAACAGGACACTTCCGAGATCACATATCCAGCGCCAAGGAGCTTCAAATACACCCCATCGCTGGATATACGAGGAAATTCTCTCCTCGCCAGCCATTTCTCGCTCCTTCATCGTAAACATTCCAAATTTTTCGCTTGAGTTTCTTTTCATGCTGCCCACGCGCTCAAAGCATGCCAAAGTGACTCAGCATGTCAGGAGAGGGGAAAATCCCCGCTCAAGGTCAGTCACTCGGAAAGAAATTCGACTTTTGCCGTAGCTGAAATGTCGAGCAAAATATCTTTGGAATGCGACATCGCAGCTCTTTACCGATTGATGCAATGGAAAGCTGAGCTTTTCGGCTTCTTCCTAGATACTTAGTTCTTTAAATTCCGACAAGAATCGATCGAGTTACGAATGTTTTAGTGTATGCATGTCCATCGATCTCTAGAGATCGATTCAAGTACGCACGGATGGTAAAGGGTTAAGAGCCATGAGGCCGCATTCGTAGCTTAGGGGCCGTCCGTATATTATATCGAACTTTTTTTACCAAACGAATTATTTTAGTTTAGACCCAACCCCTCCCGCCCTCCCCCTCAGAACGTAAAAAATATTGACATACATGCACATGCATACACAAAAGTCGCAAGTGTGTAACTGCTCCTACGGCCATGTGCATGTATGCAATGTTTTCTGAAACGAAATTGGTCAACTCCCTCCCACCCCATAACGAAATTCTTTCATATTGTGAAAAAAAGTTTGATATATGGACGACCCCTTTATAGGGACCGTCCGGGGTTACCGATTGTTTTTTACAAAACGAAAAGCTGTAGTATTTTAAACTATTTTTCAGCCCCCACCCACCCACCCACCCACCCACCCACCCACCCACGCACCCACCCACCTTTTCTGCAGGTGAAACGAATTGCTGGAGTGCTGGGGTGCTGGGGTGCACACATCCGACCCGCGGGTCAAAAATAGTGCCGCGTTTCCATTTCAACTACAGTACATCATACAGCACTGTCCGCAACACATCCGAGGGGCGCTTGGGCCGAATGAACCTTGGTGTTTCTTTCAGCTCACGGGGTCGAATTTCTTTGACCACGGCTGTACCCACACATTCCTTTATCTATCTACAAGAACCAGAGCCCAGGAGCAATACTGGTAACAACGCCTATGCAATCGGTGAAGTAAATTTCACAACAACAAAAAAGGTGCAAAACAATACCACCAGCAGGAGCTGCAGCAGCGGCGGCGGCAGCAGGAGCAGCAGCAAAGTGCAGGTGCATGAGCAGCAGCAACATCAGCATGAGCATACACTCTCACCTGTTGTTGTTGATCTTGGCTTGTCTGTGTGACATACGATGATGGCTGGGCAACATCACTATGAATGAAACCAGAGGTTTCGGTTCTGGCCACGGGTTGCTCCGTGATCACATTCGGATCCGACTGGTCTGCAATGTGCACATACAACACACACAGTCAGAAATCAAACTTCAACAGTGGGTGAATGTGTGTGGCCACAGTGTTTCGCGAAAACTTGCCATCGTAAACTCGTTGGTTCTGAGAAATCGCGAAACTTTAGTGACATAAGTATTTATAGAAAAGAAAAAGGACCATGGAACTACAAGTTACGCCATAATGTCCACAACATCACCAGTTACTAAACAATCAGCTCATGAGATAACCTTGCACGACACTGACCGGCGGTACTGACGTCCTACAACTAACTGGCCAACAGCTCTAGCACATCTTGGATGCGCACTCCAACAGCCTTCCAACTTGGAATATATTTGTTATATTTGTTCTCAAAGGGTAAGCAGCAGCTTTTGGCCTCTTTATCAATAAATTATGGTGGAGGTGAAATACTTTATTGACATAAATATTGGGCGGTCTACAGTATGACTGATTTGCTACAGTCTCTTCTTCACTCTCCATATCACTTACACAAGCCAAGACCTTGCTGGAGCGAACTCGGAGCAGATTCAACGGCTGGGCCCTCCTAGGCAGGCAAGAAATACCCGACAACAACAACAACAATAGCAAACAACAACATCTCTCATTGGCTACTGGCTATCGTGAGAATAAAGATTTGAAACAACAACAACAACAACAACAACAACAACAACTTGTGAGAATAAAGAATTCAAACAAAAACAACAACCTCTTATTGGCCACAGGCCATCGTGACAATAAAAGATTCGAAACAACAGCAACAGCAGCAGCATTAACATCAACAAACTAGTACTATTTGTGTGCGTTCAGTTGGCATGATCTAGAATGGGACGAAACAGCTGGTGGCGCAAGCCGAACAGAACCCCTAGAATAACATTTTTTCCCGAAGAGGTGCCCACATTTGGCGATGTTTGCTGGACATACTCTACTAGCAGTGGCAGTGCATGCGGCCTACCATGCAGCTAACAGCAACTAGCATTGCATTTGGCCGGATTAATTTGACGACGACTGTACAGTATACTAGTAGCCAACTGCCTCGCGGCAGAGTCACAACCAACCTGAACGTCCTCCGCTGAGTCTGCTATGTTCTAAGCTCTGTCTTATGGACATTGCGCACTTTCTGCAGCTCGGGGATCAACGGATCTGTCAACTCCACATAAAACGAACTCGCATAGTGAATTTCGTGATATTGCGAACCATTCTCCATGCCCCTGTTTGAACCCATACAAATCGATCCTTAATAGCCAGCAGTTTTCGTTTATAATGAACCAAATTGTGTAGGGCCGCATGTAAACCAAGTTACGAAGTACACTCTGTAGTGATGCTTTATGCACTCACCTTATTTAGTATACACATTACCCGTATGGGGTTACCCGCACATCCAGAGTGCATGACCTGGTGACCCTAACTGGGCCTACTTGGTGCCCGTAATGGCTTGGTCACCTTGCCTCTCTGGCATGCATGGATATCTTGCTGTTCATCTTTAGTTTCATGGTTCTTTGTCTAAACGAGACATCCGAGTGGTAATGGACTGAGTGTGCTGGTGACTGTGTAGTCACTACATGGTGTCAGAAGTGGCAGACGATAAGTCCTCATGGCGGCTTTGCGTTTTTCCCCACCTTCTGCGTTCGACTTTACCCATCCTGGGCAATGGACTGCGTGGAAGCTGCGATTCAATCGGTTTCGAATCGCCAGCAAACTAGACGAGTCCTCGGATGAGGTACAGGTAGCTACTCTAGTGTACACCATGGGCATGGACGCTGATCAGGTGTTTGAGCACCAGCTTGGACTATCGGACGACCAGAAGAAGGATTTTGATGAAGTTTTGAAGGCGTTCGACACGTACTTCACCCCATCCGTCAACATAGTTCACGAACGCTCCAAGTTCGAGCAAATTATCCAGCAGCCCGGCCAGAGTCTTGACGAGTTTGTGCGTGCCTTGTATAAAGGTGCGGAGCATTGTGCGTTTCAAGCAGAAACAGACAACCGGATTCGAGATCGACTGATCGCACACATGCGTGACAAACGTGTCAGCCGAGAATTGCAGATGAAAGCCCCCTCGGAGCAAACACTTGCCAAGTCTCTCGAGTTTGCACGACAGGCAGAGCGTGTTGCACAGCAGGTTGCAGAGCAGTCGTCAGATAGTCGTGGTGCATCCTCTGTTGGACCTGGTGGACTCGCAGCTGCTGGTGTACACCAAAAGAAACGACCCGACAGCAGGCAATGGCATCGCGAACAAGAAACGCATGCTGCTCCATCCTCATCGTGCTGCCCCAACTGCGGCGGTAGGACGCATCCAAGAGATCGATGTCCAGCTCGAGGCAAGTCGTGCCGGTCGTGTGGAAAGAAAAACCATTTTGCGAAAGTTTGCAGGGCGACCCGTCAATCGTCTGCCGTCGGCATGAACTCAGTTGGCTTTGCACCGGACGAATCTGACGACCCAGAGCAGTTTTTTGTTGGCACTACCGCTGCGGACAACTCAGACACCTCGCCTTGGTTTGCAGAGTTGCAAGTTGGCACAACGATGGTACGCTTCAAGCTGGACACAGGGGCGGATGTGTCAACGATGTCCAAGACTGTATGGCTCAGCATTAGTCCACAACCCACACTCCAATCAACAAAGGTACAATTGCGTGGTGCCGATGACCAGCTTCTACCTGTGTGTGGCGTTTTTTCAGCTAGCCTGAAGTACAAGGGCAAGGCCACCGATGTTCGAATGTACGTGTTGGAGCGTGCAAGTGGTTGCCTACTCAGCCGCTCTGCATGTGATGAACTTGGACTTGTCAAGCGCGTGAGTGCCACCCGTGCTCAGGTCCAACCTCCATCTGGAAAGCCGCTGGTCGGATGCATGGAGGGACCGCCTGCACATATCCACCTGCAGTCCGATGCGACGCCATACCGTTGTGTGACAGCCCGACGAGTCCCACACCACCTTTTTGGTAAGGTGCGCGAAGAGCTCGGGAGAATGGAGGATGGTGGCATCATAACAAAAGTCAAGGAGCCCACAGAATGGTGCTCGCCAATGGTTCCGGTACTGAAGCCGAATGGAAAGGTTCGGATATGCGTCGACCTGAAACGGCTAAATGCATCCGTGAAGCGGGAAGCGTTCCAGCTACCGACCATCGAGGACACATTGGCCACGCTGTCGAACTCGACCGTATTTACCACTCTTGACACAGCCAATGGGTTTTGGCAGATTCCACTGTCGTCGGACTCTGCCAAGCTAACGACGTTCATTACGCCTTTTGGAAGGTACCACTTCAACCGGTTGCCATTCGGCATAACATCAGCGCCCGAGATTTTCCAGGCCCGAGTCTCCGGTCTCCTGGATGGTCTCCCCGGCGTGTCAGTGTACATGGATGACATCATCGTCTACGGCCGCACAATGGAGGAACATGACCGTCACTTGGCAGAAGTCATGCGGGTTCTGGATGCCGCACACATTACGCTCAACAAGGAGAAGTGCCGGTTCAGACAGAGCCAAGTGAAGTTCCTGGGTCACCTGATCACCAACAAGGGAGTATTGCCGAACCCTGCCAAGATCTCAGCTATCACCAGCCTAAAGCCACCCAAAGATGTCTCTGACCTGAGACGCCTGCTTGGAATGTTCAATTTCCTGGCCCGTTTCATACCCAACCTTTCCGAGGTGAGCTCTCCTCTGCGGACCTTACTTCGCGACGACACTGTCTGGAATTGGGCCGAGCCACAGCAGGAAGCATTCAATCGTCTGAAGCAGTTGGCCACAGAGGCCCCGTGTCTGGCGTTCTATGACCCAAGCCGCCCAACAGTTGTCAGTGCCGACGCAAGCAGCTATGGCCTTGGCGCAGTTCTGCTTCAGCAACACGGTACAGACTACCGAGCAGTTGCCTATGCATCTCGTTCTCTCACCGATACCGAACGCGAGTACGCCCAGATAGAGAAAGAATGTCTGGCAGTCGTGTGGGCATGTGAGCGTTTCCACAGCTTCGTATACGGGTGTCCATCTCTCGTCGTGCATACGGACCACAAGCCGTTGATTCCGTTGATTAATACCCGTGACCTCAACAGAGTTCCACTCCGCTGCCAACGTCTGCTGATGAGACTGATGGCATACAACCCCACAGCAGTCCACATACCAGGGAAGAACCTCGTTGTGGCGGATGCTCTGTCACGATCACCTGAGCCATGCACGGAGACACCGTCACTCGATGCCGAGATTACGATCAACGTTGCGGCTTCCATTCAATCCATCGTGTCATCCGGAAAGTCCCGGGAGATTGCCTCTGCCACTGCTGCCGACCCAGTCCTGAACCGTGTCCTGCAGTACATCCGCACCGGATGGCCTAGCTCAGCGAAAGGTCTCGAGCAGGACATACAGTCGTACTACCACGAACGTCAGTTGTTGTCGTGTGTGGACGGAGTGGTCTACCATGGCCCACGTATCGTCATTCCACCCAGCATGCGCTCCGCTGTTCTCGCTTCCCTGCATGACGGGCATCTGGGAGTGTCCAAATGCAAGGCACGCGCCAAAGATTCCATCTGGTGGTCTGGCCTCAGCAAGCAGATTGAGAACATGGTTGCCACGTGCCCCACCTGCACGAAACACCGCACACAGCACCGGGAGCCCCTCAAGCCGGTTCCACGCCCAGCTCTGCCCTGGAGCACGATTGGCTGTGACCTCATGGAGCACAGAGGAAAGTCGTACCTTGTCGTCGTTGACTACCTATCTCGCTACCTAGACGTAATCCCCATGACGTCCACCACATCTGCTCGTGTCATCGCACACTTGCACAGTCTATTTGCCGTTCACGGGATTCCAGACACAGTGGTCTCCGACAACGGGCCGCAATTCGGCAGTGCCGAATTTCGAAGTTTTGCCACATCGTATGGTTTCACACACCGAACGTCAAGCCCGCAGTACCCGCAATCTAACGGCGAAGCGGAACGAGCTGTACGCACCGCCAAGGGTCTTCTGGAGAAGAATACCAGCTTAGCAGACGCACTCCTCGCTTACCGTGCTACGCCATTAGCAAACGGGTTCGCACCAGCTCAGCTTCTATTCGGTCGCCGCCTCCGGACAACACTGCCAGTCACTGCAGAGCAGCTAAAACCGGAATGGCCTGATCTGACCGCCGTCGCTGAGAAAGAAGCAACTCAACAAGACCGTCAGAAAGCAGACTTTGATCGGAGGCATGCAACACTCCCCCTCCCTGTGTTGCAACCAGGAGACAAGGTTTGGCTAGCTGACACTGGTGCGGAAGGCACTGTGCTGGAACAGCTCAGTGACCGCTCGTATCGTGTACGCATCGGGTCTTCGGGAGCAACGCTTCGAAGGAATCGGCACCATTTGATCCAGCAACCATCAGCACCACCGGTCGACACTGATGGCCCTGTGTGTAATGCCCAGCCAAATGCAGCCGAGCCAGATCGACCAATTCGTCACAATCGTGGCCAGCCAGCGCGGCGTCTCATCGAAGAGTGTTGACTCTCTACAGCTGACGTATCCCGGCTACTGTGCACATAGACAACCTATTGCACATGTATCATTCCGACTACCTACATTATTTGTTTTGTTGCACCTACCTTTCTCTTCTCCTTTCCCTCTTTCTTCTTTTAGGTTACTTTGTATGAGCCTTTTGTCTCAGAAGGGAGATGTAGTGATGCTTTATGCACTCACCTTATTTAGTATACACATTACCCGTATGGGGTTACCCGCACATCCAGAGTGCATGACCTGGTGACCCTAACTGGGCCTACTTGGTGCCCGTAATGGCTTGGTCACCTTGCCTCTCTGGCATGCATGGATATCTTGCTGTTCATCTTTAGTTTCATGGTTCTTTGTCTAAACGAGACATCCGAGTGGTAATGGACTGAGTGTGCTGGTGACTGTGTAGTCACTACACACTCCAGTCTTGACTTGCTGCTTGTATAGTGTGAGTGCATCTCTGTTATAACAAACTTTGGCTATAAAGAACAGTGGTGTTTGTTATATCAGGAGTCAACTGTAACAACTTGAAAATAACCTATCCTCGTACACTCACTGCCAGAGTCACTCCCTCATAAACCAGGGGCGTCGGAAGGTATTTTAGTGTGGTACGGTCAGCCATCTGAAGTACAGTTAACTCGTGGAGGAGGGGTGGTCGAGCTGAAAATTTTGGAAAATTAGAGCCCAGATCAGTGCATTTTATTGATTCACGGGGTACCTGGGGCAAAAAGTGGTACGGTCAATACCGTAGTGACCGTACCGTGTCCGACGCCCCTGTAAGCAGTTCTTGTCCAGCAAAGACAACCACTGTGCTAGTGGTGGCCAAAGAAATCCGACCCCGTAAGCCAAAAGCAGCTCCAAGGCTCATGCGACCCCCCTGGATGAGTTATAGGACCGTGCGTGATGTGGAAAGGCAGCGCTGACTGCTTTTGACTTGTAGGTTGAATTTCGTTGGCCATGACTGTAGCTGTTACTGCAGTACAGCTCAATGAAATCCAGTCGCGTCACTCAAGTACGCGCTGGGCGTTGCGGAGACCCAGACCTGCGAACACTGGGCTGCGAAAAGGTGAAAGGCACAAACTTGAGTGATGCGGCTGGATTTCATTGAGCAGGACTGTACAATGTAGCAAAATGTGTAGCTGACGCAACCAGATAATTATATGATGCAGCACAGAGCACTTGTAGAGGTGCATTCTCCCATGACACTGAGACTGGGCATTGGGGAAATCGTTATTATCGGCCCTGATGCAGATCTGGGGGCGTACCAACTCTCCGGAGCTGGCTCCGGGGCTGCAGCAATACAAGCACTGATTCGTTGCATGGTTGGACTTCGTGAAGTATTATCACTGTACACACGCTCGTACTTGTATGAGGGCAAAACAAATCTTGCAATCAAGCTGTATTACCTGGTCGGGGCTGGGTAGTACGTCCACTAGGACAAAGTCGTCTCCATCCACAGCCTCGCTGAAATCCACTTTGCCTTCATCATCCACATTGACGGTTTCTTGACCACCAACAAAGCGTGTTCTTAGGCTTTGTAACATTATGCCAAGGACACCGAGCACCACACTAACAGCACGAGTAATGTCACCAACCTACACAGAAGGTGAAAGCCTTGACTTGTGGAAGCCACTTACGGCAGAGATGGAATCTTTCCTACAAATCCGTACTGATTGCAGTGAGGTTCAAACTCCATCACATCTCTACAACGAAAGCACAGCAGTGTGGAGTGAAACAGCCCGAGCCAAAACAAAAAAGCACCTGCGCTGATCATGAGTGCAAATCCGACTACGTCATCGATACTCCATGATTCATCACCTGGCAGCTGGCAAAAGCTACTCCGTCTCCATCTCAAAAAAATTCTCGTGCCACTGCATTATGCATAGCATAGATCTAGAGTTCATCGATGCATCGGGGTTATGAAGTGGCAATAGTGTGCATATCGCATGCACTCGACTCGCATGGAGACTTTTGGAGTGTGTCGAACGAGTGTGACAGTGCAGTACGAGTACTGCGCTCTTTCGTGAAGTTTCGGGGAACGGAAGACGATACTGCACTGGCCTGTGACCAGACAGACGAGCCCATGTCGACTTGAGCCTGTTGAGGCTAATGATCCGGGCACTTGAACAAGAACGAGGCAGTATTTAGTGTGTTTCCACTAGTGAAAAGGCAGGTTGGAGCACATCACATCATTCAGTAATTCACATGGTGTTGATACCTCTGAAGCATGACGCCATGCGCCACTCTGTGTTCCCAGGTGACAGGGTCAGTTCATACCTGGATGTGGATGGGGTACAGGCTGCACATGTGTGTGTCTGCCTGCATGGAAATAGTCAGAATGCAGCTGCTTGGGCAGTGGTGCACAGTTCCACATTTGAGCAGCCAGCCAGCAATACACACGCACGCATGCACACACACACACACACACACACACACACGCACGCACACACCAGACAACAGGCTGGACAGGTGCAACGATAGATCTTTTGAAAGCCAGGCCAAAATAAAATAGAAATTCCAAAAATGTCCGAGATCGAGAACACATAATTATTTGAAAAAAGGCAAGTGAAAAAGGCAAGAAAAACATTTTGATGGCATAGCCACCCGGGTACCCGGTGGCCATGCCCATGGGCAGAGCTTGAGGTGTATTCGGCAAAGACAGTCAGTATAGTATAGTACCAGGCACTACCAAACAAAAACAACAAAAACTGTACAGTAGAAACGGCGAGAACAAAACCAGAACAGCGTGAATCAAGTACAAGCGTTAGCAATACATTGATAGCCGCCAGCAAGAACAATGTACAATGTAGCTGATAATATTTATACACAATGCCGTCGTCGTCAGAGAAGAATAGTGAATGTACAATTGACAAAGCATAGCATGGTACGTAGGCAGCACAAGTAATTAGTTGCTCGGAGTCCTGGCGATGCGGTGCTACCATTGCCCCTGCAGTGTGCCAATCTCACCAGCCGCAGCAGCACTATCACAGCACACTGAGCACAGTCATTATGCTATCATGGAGTAGAGAAAAAGGAGATCACATCATGATGATGTCATTCCATAATAAATTACCGGGGTGCCATGAGTCCATGACAGTGCTCTTGATGTCATCCAATACATGACACACCGGATGATGATGTAATCACCAAACCTCTACCGCCTATATCATTCATGGTCATCTGAGAGCGAGCAAGTTGGTTATGGAGCAGCAAGAACAGCAGAGCAGGCATAGCATGCAGAGCAGGTACTGCAACATGCACAGTGCATACTACATACTAGCCAGCAGCAGGCAGCAGTGTTCACAACAGACTGCAGCAGTGTTCACAACAGACTGCAGCAGTGTTCACAGCAGACTGCAGCAGTGTTCACAACAGACTGCAGCAGGAGAACCCAACCAGGTCCAGACAGACAGACAGGACGTTTGCTCTAACCGTATGGGGCGAGCGAGACAGTGGTGGACGAATACACATTACCGCTAACAATTGCTAACGACTGTACAGAGCACTGAGCCATGCTGAAGCGGTGGTGGTGGTGCTCCAACTAGCACACCCGGCACCCACAACCTCAGCATACTGGGCAGCTAGCCTCCACAACACACGGAGCAAACCGGGCGCTTGAACAGGAACAAGAACCCAGAGCACACCACTGGCAACTGAACACATCCAGTGATAGCAGTAACGTCACCGTCACCGTCACCGTCACCGTCACCGTCACCGTCACCGTCACCAGCATACACAGAATCAGCAACAGCATACGCAGCATCGTCATCAGCAGACGTTGCATCAGCAACAGCGAACGTTGCACTAAAAGAACAGTTCTAGCTGTAGACCAACTTCCATGGCTGGCACCAGCAACAGTGCTGGTATAATGGAACTAGCACCGGGGTTGCAAAGCAGACATCTGACGTGACGGTACTAGCAAGTGCCAGTACTGCGGTTACTTCTTGATAATCTGCACAACATCGTCGTGGGAAATGTGATGTGACAGACCCACTCTCTGTGGACTGTGCTTAGTGCTGGCACCCTGTATACAGCACACAGACACACACCATCCACAAACACACACACACACACACGTACACACACACATGCGCACACACAGACATATACACGCGTGCGCGCACACACACACACACGTACACACACACACATACACGTACACACACACACACGTACACACACACACACAAGTGCGCGCACACACACACAACATACACCATAAAATCTAAAGTTTCCCTTACAACTCAAGTGTTACGAGCAGTGAGTCACACACTTGAACACTAGAGCGCTGCTACGCCCGCACAGTCAAGTTTCACTTGCTAGACCATTAGGTTAAACACAACGGTATAAAGTACGGACAACGCAGCACAGCTACTGCACTGGCTTCAAGAAGGCAGTGCAGTGTTTGCTGATAAAACGCTAGAACAAGGAACACCCAGCTGTGCAGTGCTGGGTTATTACGTACTAGTGTGCAAGAGTCCCAGTTTCAACAGCAGCATGCTAGAGCTGAGTGTCAGAGGGCACAGTGGCTGAGAACACAGAGTGCAGCAGGACACACTTACCCAGACAACTGCATACTTGAACGAAGACACCAGCTGACGATGAATAGAATGACACTGTACACGCAAAGGGAAGGAACGACACAATGATTTTTTTAAACAATGAAAATGTAAGCAAGCCATGAACACGTAAAGAGAGAGAGAGAGAGAGAGAGAGAGAGAGAGAGAGAGAGAGAGAGAGAGAGAGAGAGAGAGAGAGGAGAGAGAGAGAGAGAGAGAGAGAGAGAGAGAGAGAGAGAGAGAGAGAGAGAGAGAGAGAGAGAGAGAGACATACACACACACACATAGGCAGACACACAGACACAAAGAGAAAGACACACAGACCTCTTGCATGTAAGCGGCTGCGAGGAGACGCGAACAAATCTTATCTGCAACATGTAACTACTTCGAAGTAGACCAGTACCAATCATCCGTGTGTGCATGTACAGGCATGTGTGTGTGCGTATGTGCGTGCATGAGAATGATATCAAGGATTCTTCAGGAAAAGACTTCTCAAATTCAGCCAACTTACAACGTGCTCTATCGTTGCTCCGCGTCTGAGAATGATACCGTCCTCGAAATCTGGTGGACCTACACGTACGATAGCAAGCACAACACAAGTATGTACAGACACTAAGTCTTGTACTTGCTCACTGCCATGACTGGTCACGCGAGTCTCCCCAAAGAGGGAAGAGATTCAAAAGGAATCGTGGGAAAATGACTGGCTATTGAACCGCCCAACGGCCGCTACCCCCTGAAATACCCCAACTCTGGGTGGACTTGGAAATGATCCCACTTATGGGCTCACCACACCTCAGTAAGTGGGCAAGGACAAGGTGTAAAAAGGATTGACGAAATCAGGGTGTCCGTCCCGGGATCCAACCGCATTTACCCCTGCCCCTGCCCCAGGTGAAGGTAATACTTGCTACTACTGTAGTGTGTGTGGCTAAATCAGAGTGGATCTGATAAAGGCTTTACTAGCAGTATTGATTACACAAAAGTTACTCTAGCCAGAAGTAGCCAATCGGTCAACAGGTATGCATACTTCAAATAGACTAAGAAAGTATATGAACCCTGAAACTAATAAAGGTGGCAAGTACAACAAGCTGGCACACACATACACACACACACACACACACACACACACACACATGCGCACGCGCGCACCCACACACACACACACACACACCCACACACCCAACCACTTACATCCACGCTTCTTTGTGAAGATTCGAACAAGAGACAGATACTCCCAGATGGTATCCAGCAAGCCGTCCATATTCAAATCCAGCTCACAGCTGCATTGGACAAATCCACCCACCCACAACAAAGCAATAATCAGTATAAGCAAGAGTACATAACCCCCCAGAGTGTGCAACTCCACTATGGGTACTGTCCCGACAGAATTTCAAGTTGACGTCATTTTGATGATGCAATGTACACGGATTATCAGACGAATCCGGAACCTGTGGTTGACCGAAGCCGATCGATCCTGTACAAATTATTGGAAAGAAAAACGTGTGATGCGTTGACACCCGTACACATGTTGTAAATCACTGGTGCAAGGAGCATTGCGTCATAAATAATGACGTCAACTTGAAATTCTGTCGGGACAGCAGGGTATGTGGGAGTTGCACACTCTGGGGGGTTATGTACTCTTGGTATAAGCCAACAAGACTTGACTGTACAGACTCTCCTGGCAAAGACTGAACAACTTCAGCCATGATCACTCTCAAAAGTAGAGGCACAGACTGTCCACAGTAAAGCCTTAAAGGTGTCACTTAGCAGCCTTCCCGGTGTGCGAATAATGATGTCAGAAGACCCCCACCGGTTTCTGCCTTATGCTCAGATTCACTATACCGTATTTCCCTGAATATAAGTCGCTCCTTTGCACACTAAAATTCAAGGGTAAAAAAGGGGGTGCGACTTACAATCGAGCATGACTTACTACTGAAGTCAATACCGTAAAGTCTTGTATAAAAGCCGCACTTGAATAGAAGCCGCAATTTTGGGCCCATCAAATCACACATAAGCCTGGTTTTAGTGTTGACATACATAGAAACACCTGTCTTGTATAGAAGCCTGTCTCATATAGAAGCCTGCAAAATTTCACCAAGAAAGTCATAGAAGCCGCGGCTTTTATACAAGACTTTACGGTATATCAAATCAATACGGCTCAAACCTGAAAATGGGGGTGCGACTTGTAATCGGGGTAATGCGGTAATCAGTTACATGTAGGTACTACCAGGCAATGGGTAAGTCGAGTGTGAAACTATGAGTTGCAGTCGATTTCCTCTCTCCTTACTATTTGATATCCCAAGTACTTCTTTCAGAAACAAAAACTGCGTGACTTTGAGCAGCCTGTTGGTTCTTGTGAACTAGTTCTGAGGAATCGAGTGATGGTGACTCCGTATGAAACTCAAGACGGTGCCGATTTCTTTTGCAAAATAGAGCACATACTTCAAACAAGCATAACCACTCTTTGTCTGGAAATGTTTTTGTTCCACTGAAACAAATTTCTTGAGCCCAGTAACTCTCTACGCATGGTCAGCCAACAGAGCGGCTGGTCGCAAAGCAATCACCAAACACACTTCAAAAGTGGAGCAGGTGCTTTACAGACAAGGTGTTCATGTGCTGGAATCATCACACAGTGCTGCTCACTGAAATCCAGTCACGTCACTCAAGTTTGTGCCTTGCACCATTTTGCAGCCCAGTGTTTGGAAGTCTAGGGCTGCGCAACGCCCGTCGAGTACTAGAGTGACACGACTGGATTTCATTGAGCAGTTCTGTAGCTTACCAGGTAACAACCGAGTTGGGCTGCCTTGCAAGCCGATCTACCTCCTCCATGGACACACAGTCAATCTTGTTGAAACACTGCATGTACATACGCACACACGCGTACACACGCGTGCACACACGTCCACACATACACACACACGCAATGCATGCACCAAACACATCCAAACAGAGATATAAAGAAAACACAGGAGCTAGCAACACAACACGGTTTACAAACTTGACAACACAAGCCACCTGCACAAGCTGTGGAAGCAGCAACACTGAACAGTAAGACGTGATTCACAATACGTTGGCTATGAGAAATGATAGTCCACTAAGACCGTGCACCCCCAACTTGAGCACATCTACCCTGCTGAGTGATTTCTCTTGTATTCCTCGCCCAGTTTGCACAGACATGACGAAGCAGGTCGCTGAAATAAATTTCCGGATTCATGACAGGAAACAACTCATTTCCCACAATTCCAAAGGTCCATCATCAAAAAGGCTATTTAAAAGCACAAAACGAAAAAGAAAGAAAAAAGCACACGTACGTATGGTAGTCTACTGAAAGGAACAAGCATTATGTGGCACAGTGTATTTAGTATGATGATGACAGCATGTTATAGGCTATTCATACTACGTTCCAATACGCGTCACGTTCTGGAATTCCACTTACTGGCAGACGTCGTTTTCATGCAAGTGCATTCACACAGGCACCTATACACTGCTCGTATAGCTGGGCGTACAGCTTCTTTTGGACACAAATTGCCAGGAACGACGGAACGAATCTCGGAACAGGGGTTTGGATACGTCGCCCACGTTTCGTATCAGGCGTATGATTTTCCCGCCACGTTCCATGTTGCCATGGCTATTCGGACGAAAACGTCACGTACGCCACGTTTTGGGCATAGTGTGAATGTCCCATTACATATACTGCGAATGGTATGAGAGGAACATGCTTGTCCATGTCACTGTGGCTGTGTAGTACGGTGGTGGCAACTGATATCCGACCCCTGCTCGGCGCACTCACATTGCAAAAACCCAGCAAGCGCTTGTAACACTACGAAATAGAGACCGCTAGAATGGTGCTGCATTCTAGCACGGAAATCAGGGGTTGGATTTCAGTACCACCTCTGCATGATGAGAGCATGGTACATATAATTATCGTACATGGCATGAGAGGAACAGACATGTACATTCGACTTACATAGATGCAGTTCATGTAGATGCGATTGCCCACAATGACGTCAATCAGATCGTCTGTAGTGGCGTCCTCACGGAACAGCAGCTCGCCGTTGAAGATCTTGTACTCGTGCAGGATCAGATTGATCAGCTTGTCATTCAGGTGGGTGAGTGGCACGGTGGAAGTGATCGACAATCCACCACCCTTCTTGGGCTGCATAAACATGCACACACACACACACATACACACACACACACACGTGCGCGCAAACACACACACACACAAACAAGTCTCCAACCATATACCAAAGATGCATGAACCACACGTTTGTAGTTAGGTCACAAAAGCACAAAAGCATCGGTACTCCAAGACAGCCCAGACCTCAAGCACTGAATACACACCTTGAAATAGATGTTGGGCTTTCGGCGGTTGAGGCGAATACCGACGGCTTCCAATTCCTTCGTCAGCAATTCCCTGCAACACACACACACACACACGCACACACCATGCACACCCGTCGCAAGAGAAGCACACAAATCTCCAAGTGCACTGGATGTACACATGTAGAGACCTGACGCTTACGTCACTTTCAAAAAATAATATTAAAGCATGCGCAGGAAAAGTAAATCTTTCTCTTTGGCCTCAACTTCTTTGTTGTCCGGTTGGCCATTGCAGCCGTCGTGTAGGGCCGACGTGAAACCCTAAACACGAACACCCACAGAGTCTCTCATAGCAACGATAGCGGACGAGATCTGAATGAAACAGATCAAAACTAACTGTCTAATCCACACAACTGGCAGAGCCATGTGAACCAACCCCCAATGCACACCTGGTCTACACCACATGGAGTACATCGGAATAGGACGGCCGAGGCAGATAGTCACCTATGCACACCCTATACCTGCTGGGGTAGCCAGTCTAGACAGCATGCTGCTTTGATCTAAGCAGACAACACACACACATGCACACGCATACACGCACACACCCCCCCCCCCACACACACACGCATACACGTGCACATACACACACACGCATGCACGTGCACACACACACACACACACAGAGTGACAGGACGTACCTCTGCACCTCTCCTTTCGTGGCATCCAACATCATCAAGATGAGATCAGCTGTACGGGCGACGGCAATGACCTGGCGACCTCGTCCCTTGCCTACACGACATAGGAAACAAGAGAGTACACGCAGTCACATACACACATACTTGTACTTGCTCACTGCCAATATTGGTTACGTGGGTCTCTCTGGGAGAGGGGTGAGAGACTCAAAAGGAGTCCAAGAAAGATGACTCAATTGGCTATTGAACCGCCCAACGGCTGACGCCCCCTGAAGTCCTCAAACTATGGGCCACACACACACATACACGAGCACACACATACGGACACAAACATGTGCACACAATTGCACACACGTGTGCACAAAATGTATACACGCAAACGCACACACCACATACACACACACGGCACCAATATCCAGTCCAGGCACAAGGCTGATATGTGATTTGGAGTTAGGGACATTTCAAAGTTACGCGCAGTGCCCGGTCCCGGACCGCCCGGATAAACAAGGTACGAGTGTACTTAGAACACGAGTTTACGGCAATGACACCATGGCATGAGCATGATATCTTCACCGTGAGTCATAAGCCAACGAGCCACTCACCTGCAGCAGCTCCTTCAATGATACCGGGCAAGTCGAGTAACTGTATATCAGATCCATTGTACTGCAAGTGGGCACACACATACACCAAACACAATTACTTCAACACGCAGATACACATACTCAGACAATATGTAAGGGGAGTAGTGGCAGTAGCAGTAGCAGCAGTGGTGCTATGACAACAGCTCACAAGCAGAAGACACCCACCTCTGCCCCTCTCTGTCCCTCTCTGTCCTCTCTCTCTCTCTCTCTCTCTCTCTCTCTCTCTCTCTCTCTCTCTCTCTCTCTCTCTCTCTCTCTCTCTCTCTCTCTCTCTCTCTCTCTCTCTCTCTCTCTCTCTCTCTGTGTCTCGGTCTCTGTCTCTCTCTATGCTAGACATACCTCGATCACACCTGGAATGCAGGTCAGTGTTGTAAACTCGTAGGATGCAGACTCGCTGTGTGTCTTCGTCACCTTGTTAAGCAATGTAGACTGGGCACAACAACACCAATGGTACAGCCAGCAAGAACACAGTAAACACATACACGTGAGAACACAGCTAAATGCATGGTCAAACACCATGGCCATACATACACACACACACACACATATGTACGCACACACACACACACACACACACGCGTGCACATACGCGCGTGCACACACACACACATTGACCTTTGACGTCCATCGCCAGAGGCGATGATAGCGATGCTACAGCAGAAGCCATAGCAACTTGTGCTGGGATTGCACCATTCAACGGCTTGCAAGGCTGAAGAATTGACCGCCACTAATTCAGCATGTTCTACACCTCACAGCTAATTGAAGTGGCTTTTTCTGGCCAGTGAATCCCTACTTTTTGGTCGTTAAAAAACAACAAAAGGGAAGTCTTTTTGGTCGTTAAAAAAAAACAACAACAAAAGGGAAGTCAGGGTGGGCTGTGGATGCAGATTATTCTCCAGCACAGTAAGTCGACAAATTTTCGGCCCATTCAAATTTCGGCCTTCCCGGGCTAAAACACATTTCAGCTGCAACGAATGTTCAGCCTGTACTGCTGCTGCCTGTATACACTGCCACACACTGAACCTTGCAAAACAAAAAATTCGGCTGCAACAAAGTTTCGGCCAAATATGATGAGGCCGGAAATAAATATGTGGGGAATATTTCCTGACTTACAGTATGGTGTAAAAATTTAAAAAAAAAAGTAAATTATCGCGTCCGTTCTCGAAGGGAACTCACGACGGTCGCTAACACCCGGTAAACCCATACTGCTAGGGTTTACCAGTATGGTGTAGCTGCGGTACAAGACAGGAAGTTCAGTTTAGAGACTCGGCTGAGCTTGCACTCAGCTCAGTTGAGCATATCAACCTACCTTGCCGACGGAAGGGAATCCAATCATAGCAACACGTGCATCGCCGGATTTCATCACATCAAAGCCTTCACCCTGAACACACACGCGCACACACACACGTGCGTGTGCGCACGCACACACACACACACACACACACACACATGCGCATGCACAAACACAGGGGCATTGGTTATGTTAGGTTCGCGATTTCACATATGCACGCACTCGCACACTCGTACTCACCTTTATGGGGTATTCACACGACAGTCACTTGCACGTTTCACAGGGAGTGACATACGAGAAAAGTGACTGTGTGGATTCACACAGCTGCACTCGACGGCAGGCACGTTCGCATTTTTGAATGCTTCACCGACCAGTAGCCATGGGTATTTCAAATTTTCAAAACACGCATACAATAATTATCATGCTCTAAAGAGCTGCGTAAAAAACCAAGTCTTGTTTCGCGCTTTTTGGTGTAAATATACTCGTGCACGCCACGATTATCGTGAAAGTGGGCCCCCAGCTCGCTTGCACTTTTCAGCCACTTTCAGCCACTTTTCTCGTTCACAGGTAAAATACCATAGCAACTTTCCGGTGCACGTGGATTTGCCTGTCGTGTGAATACCCCATTACACTCTTGTACTCACCTTTGTCCCCTTTTCTAACCTTTTCTTTCATTGGCCTGGGTAGCTGAATTCGCGCTCTAGTACATTCATTGCCATAGCTACCCAGGCCCTTGATGTTGTAAATGTTATATGAGCCCTTTAGCCCCGTACACATTCCCGTATGCACGCACTCCCCTACAATACACATATTCATGCACACCCTGCTGACCCCGTTTCCCGCTCACCCTGTTTCACTTACTGCATGCACCCCGTTTCCCGCTCACCCTGTCTCGCTCAATGCATGCACCCCTTTTCCCGCTCACCCTAATTCCCACTTACTGCACGCACCCCTTTTTCCCTCCATAGCTTTAGATATACCCGGAAGGCTGCGCTTGCGCTGTGTTGTTCTCCCAATCTTCTCCTTGTTGTTCTCCCAGTCTTCTCCTTGTGGTTCTCTCAGTCTCTGTGGTTATTCCAGTCCTTGCCCTACTCTCCAGTCTCTTTGTAGTTCTTTAGTCCCCTTTGTGCTTCTCGGAGTCCGATAATATAACCATTATAACAGCCTATAATTCCGTGCAGTCTGAGATAGTATAAAGAGTGTTATAAAGTATAGTAGTGTTAGGTTCACGATTTCACATATGCACGCACTCGCACACTCGTACGCACTCGCACACTCGTACGCACTCGCACCCTCAAACTCACCTTTACAGGCGCGCATTCACTTTCACTCTCGTACTCACCTTTTCAGGCGCGCACTCATTTTCACTCGACGTACTCACCTTCACAGCCTCGTACTCACCCTTGTTGCTTTTCCTAATCTTTTCTTTCTTTGGCCTGGGTAGCTGGACTCGCGCTTTAGCACATTTATCTCCATAGCTACCCAGGCCCTAGATAAGCTCTTGCTGGAACATTTGCTCTGCCCCTAGCCTTGTCTAGCCTTGTCTTGCCTTGTCTTGCTTGCCTTGTCCTCTATCGAACTTCTGAGATTCTCTTCCCTTGTCGTCGACTTGAAACTGCTGATCCGCTCGTCCTATTGTGACTGTGCTTGATCTTAACATTGGCGCCCAACGTGGGGCTCGAACCCACGACCCTGAGATTAAGAGTCTCATGCTCTACCGACTGAGCTAGCCGGGGGAACAACTTGCCGCTGCCATGCGGATCCCATTGCCACCGCCATGCGTATCCCGTTGCCACCCTGTTCGCCTCCTCCTCAATCACCGTCACCTCCCGGTTTGGCACGGGGCTCGACTCGTGGAACCTGTCTCCATGGGGGTCGCCCCCGAAGTTATCAGATTGGTCCCTAGCCTTGTCTAGCCTTGTCTTGCCTTGTCTTGCTTGCCTTGTCCTCTATCGAACTTCTGAGATTCTCTTCCCTTGTCGTCGACTTGAAACTACTGATCCGCTCGTCCTATTGTGACTGTGCTTGATCTTAACATTGGCGCCCAACGTGGGGCTCGAACCCACGACCCTGAGATTAAGAGTCTCATGCTCTACCGACTGAGCTAGCCGGGGGAACAACTTGCCGCTGCCATGCGGATCCCATTGCCACCGCCATGCGTATCCCGTTGCCACCCTGTTCGCCTCCTTCATCACCTCCTCCTCAATCACCGTCACCTCCCCGGTTTGGCACGGGGCTCGACTCGTGGAACCTGTCTCCATGGGGGTCGCCCCCGAAGTTCCCAGATTGGTCCCTAGCCTTGTCTAGCCTTGTCTTGCTTGCCTTGTCTTGCTTGCCTTGTCCTCTATCGAACTTCTGAGATTCTCTTCCCTTGTCGTCGACTTGAAACTGCTGATCCGCTCGTCCTATTGTGACTGTGCTTGATCTTAACATTGGCGCCCAACGTGGGGCTCGAACCCACGACCCTGAGATTAAGAGTCTCATGCTCTACCGACTGAGCTAGCCGGGGGAACAACTTGCCGCTGCCATGCGGATCCCATTGCCACCGCCATGTGTATCCCGTTGCCACCCTGTTCGCCTCCTTCATCACCTCCTCCTCAATCACCGTCACCTCCCCGGTTTGGCACGGGGCTCGACTCGTGGAACCCGTCTCCATGGGGGTCGCCCCCGAAGTTCCCAGATTGGTACCGGCAAGCGCCATCGCCATTGACGCCCAGGCTACCGCCAGCGCCCTCGGTGCCCTTAATCATCAGGTCGTCGTGCCTGGATACCGCGTGTCGCCACCTCGAATTTGGGCTCGACTCGTGGAACCCGTCTCCATGGGGGACCGGATAAGCGAGGTCTGACTGTATTACAACTCTGGATGCCCCTGTGAGCGGTTGCCTTGGACATGTTTCACTGTCTACTAGTTGCCATGCAAGGGCATAGCAGCCTGGGGTCCATTTCAAAGTGGTTTCTACCTATCTAAACTCTGCATGCCGGTATGCGCTTGAAGTAGTGAGATGATGATGCTTTCGGGGAGAGCATTTGCTGAAATGACCTGACTCATAGGTATTCCATGACCAGTTGGCCTACGCCCCTATGCCCTAGAGTGTACTGTAACTTATAAGCACAAATTTTCGTTTACAAAATCTTTCGTTCGATCACTCTACCAGCAGGTTCGTTACGTACTAAATTTCGTTTTTTTGGTCCAGGTCTGTCACCCCGGACGTTCAGAAGGGTCAAGGGATCGAAGTTCGCCGTGCAGGCACTAGGTGCCGTCCTCCAAACTTCACGTGAAATTAGAAAACGACTCGCGTGATCGTGCTTGGTACAAAATTTAGTTATTTTTAACCCTTTAAGAGCCGCCCCATACTTGAATGCGTCGTAAACGACGCATTCAAATGCAAAACTTCAAAAGATCGTCACTCAGTCCAATCTCGCTCAAATCCAGTGATCGAAATATCCAGGGCGAAGAGAAAACTCTCACCTGTCGGGAAAAACAATCCGCGAAGCGCTGCGAGCAACGGTTCCTGAGATAAATCACTCGTAAGTTGAGCCGCGATCGCGGCAATTTCAAAAGCGCACAGTGCGACTTTAGTATTGAGAATTTTGAGACTTTTCGTCACGCTGGTTTACTCGAATTTGCACGGGTTTCACTGTTGATATTGTCAAGAGTACAGAGCGAAAAAAATTGGAACTCCACGATCGAGTAAAATGAAATATCTGGAGCGGGACGCAATTGGACGCATTTGGGGCAAATTTCGTACTGTCGCTGCGATCTAGCGCTGGATAGACGGTGTGCCGGCTATCATGATCGACCTCATTCTCTTCCTATCGCGGAGACCTTTCCAGGAAGCCCTGGATTATGAGGATTGAGTGAGTAGAACTGAAGCTATGATCCAAGGAACACGAAAAAATGCAGAATTTTGAAATTTTCCTGTGGCTCTTAAAGGGTTAAAACAAGGAAAACATGCCCTGGTCCCCCAAACATCTGTATAGCCATACTTCGTGTATCCGGACGGTACGGGACCGGGCACTGCCCGTAACTTTGAAATGCCCGTAACTCCAGATGACATACATTGGGGAAAGGTCATAGATACGGCATATGACAATCACTATTTCCAAAAAACGTGACAAAAGAGTAGTAATATTTCCACTGAAACTCGCGCACATGGTGCCCGGTAGACCGAAGTGCGGGTAACTTCGTAGTCTGGATACCCTAGGTATGAGTGTGTTACGTGGGTATGAGTGTGTTACGTGGGTATGAGTGGAAGCTGTTCGGACTACAACTTCAGCTTCCCTTCATCAATTTTAACAATGAATCTCAAGCATTCTGGAAAGCTATTGGCAAGAGGAACAAGCCAGAGGGATTTTCACCAGCTGGAGTGTTTACTGTAACTGCAGTAGCACTATAGCCTAGGGAGCTGGGAAGACAGTGGCACTATAGCCTAGGGAGCTGGGAAGACACGCGCAACGCAAAATTGAGACAATTCGCTAAGATCCATAGTTTTTTGTAGTATTCATCGTAGAGCGCTCCTTTCCTTTGTAGCTAACCGCTAAAGACCTGTGTCTGACTTCACACAGGTATATGCATGCCCAGACTGTCACGCAACAGAGGGAAATCCTTTACATGTATGTCAAAATTATGCCAAGTGCGGAAGTGAAAATTTGCAACGGGACGTAAAATGCCTTGCGAGTGCCGTAACTCCACTATTCGACCTCGGATCGACTTCAGATTTGTTGGAGCCGACAGCAGAGAACTTTCTGTTCACGAGGCTCTCCTTGACTATACATTAGATAGTGTGTCTGGACACGGACTATTGGATGCATTGTTCTGTGCATGTATGGTACTTTAGGTAACTGCAGGCTAGACGAGCCATACCGATTCTATGTGCATGCCCTACAGCATTATGGCGCTTTGCTGGTTTGTATTCATCCATTTTCACGGTACTTAGACATTTGAGGTAGACGTGTAGGCGCCTTTCCATAGATCATGTCAATAGACTAGTAGTGGGCACGCCAGACACTTTGTGGCATCGCCGGAGTTTCAGTATTGTCAGTTTGCACCTATGTGGTCGCAGTTCTATCGCGACAAGCTGTGCATTTGC